TTGGAGCATGTGCTCTTCATCCAAGGACAAGGGCTCTTGGTCTGAGGACGACTGCCGTGTGCTGCACGATGCGCATTTGGAGCAGCCGCGTGACGAAGACATGGGTGATGACAGAGATGACGGGTGAAGGGAGAACAGTCAGCTGCGGAACTGTGCAAGACCCAAGACCCCAAAGAGTGGGATTGTTTATAATTCATGATTGTTAACACTTGGCCGGTAGACTATCATAAGAGAATCCAAAGACTGTTAAAGGACGTTCTTTCTGGGATCACCCAAAGACCATACTTGCACTCCCAGGAGTCTGAGTCACTTTAATTTTGGGTGCAAGAACAGTGAGTGCAAGAGGGCTTGGCTTTGGCCAAATGGATGTGGGTCCAGAGTCCCCGTGAGTCGCCCGAGAATCGCCAGCTCGAACACATCGGACGGCTGAAGAAAGAGCTTGAACACAAGGGCCTATAAGGGGAACCAGCTCCATTCTCCCTAAGAATCCGGGCCACCAAGCAACACATATAGGGGGTTTGGTGACCTCCTACTTTTGGCCCCCCGTGCGTTGAGACATCAGTGGATGTTTGATCCAGATTCGGTTTGTCCTGTATTTGCGCGGATTTCATAGATCCACTTCGAATACGACCTTTTTCAGCAAACCCTTCGCGGCCTGGAGGGTCCGGGCCCTTCGTGTTTGGGTCTTCTGGATATCACAGCAGCCTGGGAGTGGCGGGGGTGTGACTGGGTCCGAGTGGTGGTCGGTGGTGTCGGGCTGAAATCCAGTCTGGGACTCCGGATGCAGACCCCATCCATCTCTTTCCCAGCGTCGAGATGGGGATTTCATGGCTCCTAGGTGCGTCTGGCCTGTCTGGAGACCTATGCCTATAAGTAGTGTAGGGTTGCCCTGAAGCAGCTGGTATTGTATAATATAATTCTATACCCTGAGTCAAAGACTGTACAAAAAAGTTCTGTCTGACTAAGGTACTTGGAAGGCAACTTCCAATACTTCGTTGAGGCACAATGTAGACTTTCGACTTCTAGGGTACATGCAGAACGTACAGAATAACTACTTATAGTTATGAATACTTAGCCCAAATGACATGATCCGACACTGGATCCTGATCACCTCATTCCTACTAGGCCACTGCAACAAATCCAAGTTCAGGTCTGAGAGCACTTACCTCAAGAACGCTGCCAAGCTGATTGACGCCAACTGTCCTGCGATGAGCAGGACTCTGCGGGAGTTGTCTGCCAAAGATTTGGGTGTCGGAACGTTTTTTCCCACCCCAGGCGGAACGAAACACACCCCTAGCCTTTGAAGACAATTACCATGGTCAACCAAACCCAAGTAACATAATCGTAAAGAACATTAAAGAAATGGCAAACCTGGAATCCCAGTAAATGTAATTAACATATTGGTTAACAAACCTGGCGTCTTATCTCTTTCGGTCGGACTGGGGTTGTTTGGTGTGCACAGAGCGGTCCGCCCGCGGTCGGGTCAGAACCAGGGCAAAGGAACAGATTAGTGCATACATATGGAGGTCAACATATAAGGGTGAAACATATAAGGGTGAAACGGGCTCCAGGTTTTGACCCACAGCCATACACTGCAAAAAGACATATAGACTGACATCAGACCCCCGGCGGGTGTGGATCAACGAGTTTTGCACCATTGCCCTGTGCGGCCTCATCTATTTGGGGTGCCGCATCGTGGGTGCATCCGCCGCAAATCCACCACGGCCATCTCAGCCGTGCTGATAGGACGATAGGACTCGGTTTCGACGTCAAGAATGATACTATATACTTTGCTTTGGGGCGTCCAAGGGTTTTGCGGTATGCAGGAAGTTGCAACCGTTCGTCGTAAAAACAATGTGCACTTTGATCAATCTAGTGGATGTTTGTGGGAATCGCATGTCGCGGCAGGGCCAAAGCCGACGTCCTTCAAGCCAATGTGCAGGCTGTCTTCCGGAAGAGGGCACAAGGGATGATGAAGCACAGCTGGATGATCAGCAAACATCGCGCATGCATGAGACCATGTTACATGCATCATGCTATACATCATGCTATATATCTAATATATGCTATACATGCCCGGACGAGTGGTCCAGTTGGACTATATGTTTGGCACCAACGGAAAGCAAAGGAACCATAAGCCGAAGCCGGTCACCTCGGGGGTCACCTCGTCAGACTCGTCAGACGGCCTCGTCTGGGCTGGGCTCGTTTCGGGCATGTCACCACTTGGAGTTCGTGGCCGACAGTGAGGAGGCACACATAGCTTAAGCTTATAAACTACCAGAGGCCCGGTCACCAATGTCCCATGCAAAAACATCAGTTTTCACCTACCAAAAACCATGTTTTTTTGTTGGGGAAAACCAGGTTTTTGATGGTTTGTGGGGCCCTTGGTATATTATAAACTTCCCTAAGAATCCGTACGGGCTCTCCATGGGGGTCGGGGTCGGACCTTCTCCACCGTTTCACGCAGGGGGAAAAGGGCCCGGTTCGCACACCCTATGTGTTGCGAACCGGGCCCAGATTCTTAGGGAAACATACAACACAGAATGGTAAGTTCAATCAACACGAGCAGGTGACCCTACTGAATCTACGACTCAACCGACCGGGAAGGCCTACCCAGCGGCTCAGGTGCCCTGGATCCCTCTGCATGCGCCTCGCGAGTGGCGCCGAAGCCGGTGGCAAGGCTTCCTTTGAGGCTGGGCATGGCAAGGCCGTAGACCGCAGTGCCGCAGTGCTGCAGACCCGAGCGGGTCGGCTGGCCATCGGGTGGGAGGTCGCGCCCCGAGCTCCTTTTGCGCCACACATAGGGTTTGGGGAAGCCGGGAGTCCCTAAGGACCCCTGCGTTTCGATTGAGGGAGAAGGTCCTGCATGTCCTGCCTCCCGACGCAAGGTGACCTTCAGGGATGGGAGGAGTGGGGGGGAGCTTCGGACCTCCAAGCTAACTGGCTCCACCAGCACCTCCCAAAACCGGTCCCAAAGACCAATCCACACGCCGACCTGTCTGGGACTGCCAGTCCGGACTGCCGCCCCAGACAGACCCAGTCAACCAACCACCCCTGGCCGTTTTGAAGGCAGTTCGTAGTTGGATGGATCGTGTCTGGGAATCCGAAAGCATTGTCAGGTGGGGTTTCGACACCGAACAGTGGTGGATTCCCACCCGTGTTCCCAGGCGTGGACGCCGTGGAGGCCCCGACCTGCGCCCCACCGGAGAAACGGAGCACGTGAGCGCCTGCGCACGTTTCGCACGGGTGGAGCGGGTCGGGGAACGACCGTGTCGTCCGTTGGGTTGGAACGTGACGACTCGTCACCGCACGCCTTACACGGTCTCGTCACAGAACAAGGCCGTTTTACGACCGGGCCCGCCCCACTCGTGGGGGGTACCCGTGCTCTTGAAAAAAAGGACCCGGAAAACCTGGGGTACCCGGGATAGTCGAACAGTCCAGTCGGGTCTTGAAAAAGGTTTCCCTGCGATCCTCGTGGTGGCGCGAACAGCCGGATCCTCGGAGCGAGCTCGCCGAGGTGAATGCGAGATTCTCCACAGTCTCTGTCTGATTTTGATGATATTCATTTATATTCTGTCCAATTTTTAAGTTTTCCGCCACCTCTCTCATAGAGGTGTCTGTGCAGTGTGGCATGCAGTGTGGCAGTTTCATGTGAAACAACCAATTCACCTGAACTCACATTTCTCAGTGCCCAAAACAATGAGGTGACAAGCACCTCAGGTTGTGAACATGTCGATGCATTCAATGCAATTCAGTATTGCTGTATTGCTCTTTTTGGTTTCCAGATGTGACATGACCAACTACACACATGGGATGCCTATTTCTATTTCCCTGTGTGTTTTGGTTGGCACCGTGGGCATATTTAAAGGTTCAGGTTTGTCTTCCTTTAGCACTGTGCTGAAAACCCTTCCATTCAGCGGGAATCGCGACAAGCCTGTCCCTGCTTGGCCAATGTGTTTCAGTTGATCTAGTGATGCTAGTGTCCAGTTGAATATCAATCTCCCACCAAACTTTTGGCGATTCCTGCTTGAATGCCATGCAACCAGACCCAATCTGGCAGGATGCGAAGACTTGCAGAAAAGGCTCCGGTGTACTTTGTGTACCTCCAGGATGACTCAGGATGGCTCAGGATCTCCAAGATGTTCGACATACGGACCAAGGGAGACAGAGCCCGCGGTTGTGACAAGGACAAGTATAGTCAAGCATGCATAGATGTAAAATCCATTGGTTCTAAAGGTTCTACTTGGCTTTCCTTCCAAAACTATATACCAGCAGTTACAAAGGGGTGCGATCCATGGAGATTAGGGGTGCCCAGAACATCCACTCACTGGATGGGACGAGCCACCCCGTCTTGTGACTCCTGGTACACTTGGTTGGTTGGAGTCACCCGACCCTTTGTCCTCCATGTTCAGCGTGAAAGACACGCAAGCGTTTGCTTGCGCATTTGTCTCGTAGCTGCTTGAAGATCGAGATGTGAAGTCAAGAGCAGCTGCATGTGATAGTCCTAGGATTCAACCAACCATTGTTTCAATAGTCTTTAGAAAAAGAACCATATGTTTTACTAAGTTTAAGGATTCTTACACTGCATGGACATCCTGTTTTACATCGGTCACGATGTGAGTCGACCGGGTCGATGCTATCTGCGTTGTGAATCTGTAGGTCAAAGCCTTTAAGCTTGAACAATGAGTTGATTAAGATTTGGGTTGGCCACTGTCGGGAAACTGGCCACTTGTTGTTCCGCTTCGGGACAGGAAGAGCGATGGTTCTGGGGTTATGGGTTGTGGGATGGTTGGGGTGGGATGTTTGATGCCGAATTGGGACACTTCAGGACTATGGCACTGCTATGTACTGCCGGCCGGATTGGAGCTCCGAGAATTTCTGCCCCCGTTCAGGACTTGTGCCTCAAGTCTTTTTTAGACTGTTTTGGGCCAGAATCTGTAGACATAAACCACTGGGAATTTGAGCCATTGGACATCTAGCTTAGGTATAGATTCTCTTGGTGCTCCTCATAGAATCACGCTCTTGCGCCGCCATGATCGCAGTGCGACGAATTCGACAGATCTCAGCCCTCCTGAGGCAGGTGCTGAAGCTGCAAAGGGAGGGCCATTCACGGAATTTCATCTTCAGGATCCGGATGGACCTGCTCCCTCTTCGCAGGGGTCGAAGCCCCTATATACAGGGTATATACTGTACCCTCAAAACTCAAAACCCCTTGTTCATGAGGGTCCGGACCCCTGCGCGTTTCGAGGGAGAAGGTCCGACCCCTGCAAACTGGAGGTGAATGGGCACCACTTCCTCTGTACTTGGGACTCCATGTTGGGTGGAGCATGAGCCACAGGACTCTTTCGAAAGACTAGACTCTGGTCGCACGAACTCGTGCGTGCGTGTGTTTGGCATGAGTGTTTTCAGACCATGTCCCAAACACTCCATGGGACTACCCTAAGAATCCGAGCTCGGGCTCTCCATGGGGGTCGGGCTCGGACCTTCTCCACCGAAACGCAGAGGGAAAAGGGCCCGGTTCCCAAACCCTATCTGTTGCGAACCGGGCCCGGATTCTTAGAAAAAACATGCCCACCTTCACCCCTGACATCAACCACCCCTGTCTGTGTGCCAGTCTGCCAGTCCGGCGGTCGTGTCTGAGATCTTGTTCAGGTCCAAAAGGTCCAAACGGTCGACCGGAGGTGACCGAAATGGACCATGGTCTTTTTGCGACGTTTCTTTTCGCACTCCTGGTCCAGGTTCCGACCCTTCGAATCTGGGGGAGTCTGCTTCTTCAGATCCGGACCCTCAAAAACAAGGGGTTTTGGTTCGGGGTTTGTAGACTCCTGCGTTTCTCGCCGAAGGTCCAAGAATTCGGTGTTCGATGTCCTACCCGGGTCCGGGACCCTTCCGGCGGTTTATTTTTTCCTCAGACCCGTCCTCGTAGCGGTGGAGGACGTCCTCGGGGCGGCCGTGAGCGGTGTTCGCACCCGCTTCGGAGGCCACCCAGTGGAGTCGGGTACCGGACGTTCTCGCACCAGGCCGCAGAAAGCCGAGGGTTTTCGCTCCGAAACCACCGGGGAGGGAGGGCACAGCTGCAGGGAGGGCACGCAAGTCGTTTCAGGCGATGGTATTTCTGGAGATGTCTTTATCATCTGAACTCCTCTCCACGGAAGTTCTATCCATTTGCGACCTCTGAAAAACAGGCGTCAGTATGCGTCAGTTGATTGATTTCAGTCCAGCCCAAGAGACAGTGGTGGATCACCACCATGTCATGGGTCAGCTACCCTCAAAGCCCTTAGTTTATCAGGGTCCGGATCCTGCTGGGGTAGTCCGGATCCTGCTGGGGTAACAAACATGCCCGACTCTCCGAGCTTGACGTTTATTGGCAGCTTGACCGGCTGTTGAAGAAGGGGTCCCAAGACGTCCCCAAGACGAGGTGAGGTGAGGAAGCAAGGTGATCATTGACGTTTTATGCCCTGGTTCCAAGACCCACATTGGAACCTGAAAACCACTGGGTTGTACCAGGACCCTCCAAGGCGTGCCCAATGCAAGCCTATAGGTAGTGTGGGGTAGTCCATTGGACACCCCTTGGAGGGTCCAGGTAGAGGAAAATAGTCTTCCAAAGGTCCATTTTCAGTCTCTATGTTAATCTTGCTGGGTGTATCCAGCTGGACGGAGGCAAGCAATAGCCACGGGCTACCGCACCTGATCAGGCAATTTAGATCGTATCCGACGTCATCTTACCCTGCGAGTCCTTTTTTTACCCACCATGGGTTTTGATGGGTTTATGCAAGAACCTAATGTTTTACCAAACATTTTCGAGCGCAAAACCAGATCAGGTCAACCGTCAACATCCATCAACCATGTTTTGAACCATTGTTGAACTCGTTTTTGAAGGCTAAAGGGCCGGGCTTAGATCTATTTTGCTTACCAGAATTCTGGTTTTCTGAACACGGTCGTTTTTGGGAAATCCACCCCATGCTGTCTCACCACCGCTGTCTACGGAGCACCGCTCCGCCTCGTTGCGACGGAGGGCCTGGCCCCGTCGCCACAGACGGTGCAGATCGCTGCGGCAGAGCGAGAGGTGAGGTCCTCGTGGGTGAGGTCCTCGCGGTGGAAGGAGCAGCGAAGGATCTTGGTTCAACCTGGCGGCTGTTTGGTTCGCCCGACCCGGTCTGAGTGGTTGGAATTGGACCCATAAACTCCTCTGTTTTCAGGTTTTGAGGGACTTGAACGGAGGATCTGAGTGGTCATTATTTTGAAACATTTTTTTACAATATACTGTATACACGTGGATTTGTCCTCAACGGGAGAACCTGAGTCATTTTTGCAGGAAAGCAAAACAAACGAAGGTGGGACCCTGAGCTGAATATCTCATTCAATTGGATCCTTTGGGATCTTTGAATACCAAACGTTATAGGTTTTCCTTCAGTGCATCTCCTGGCCCCAAAAAGGACCAACTCCTCCTCAAAGTCTCTCTCCACACGACCTTGTCGCGCCGACTTTGACGCACGCGCCTTCGGTCGTCGCGACGTCCGGAAGGCTTATCAGCGAGATGGTGTGGTGCACCTGCCTGGCGCCTTCAGCCTGACCCCCGAGGGTGAAAAGGTCGTGGTTCAGGTCCCAAGATCTGTTCAAAGATCCATTCGTGCCTACTCACATGGTATGACTGGACCCTCCTGGCACCTGGCACCCATCTTTGACGCACCTGGCATCAGAACGTACGACTGGAGCCCTAGGCCGGTGAGCAGGCACAGAACTTCTCGTGAAGATCTGTGGAGATGGCATCGACATCCGTTTTCACGAGTCAGTGTAGACTCTTACGTTGAGCGTTTGACGGGTTTGATTCATTGGTTTGACGCTGGTCCACAAACTGCACCTGCACATTGCGAGGAATGCTCACGACCGAGGCGAAGATTGGGTGACTTACTTGCGTGAGGCCTTTCAGCAGGGCATGGAGAAGCCAGGCCGCGATGGGAAAGCCGAGGGGATGCTATCAGGACAGCACTCTTTGACCAAGGAGGGTGTTTGGCATCTCCAAGGTGATCCTTGAACATGAGTGCTGTTCCCAAGCAACATCAAGCAACCCATCTCGTCCTATCAATTTCGAAGCAGAAGACCTTTTGAGGGACCAAAGAGCTAAGTGGACATGACCGTCCGAGCTAAGTGGAGCCAAGTGGATCAGATAGAGAACATGACAGTAAATTCAACCAATTCCAGCATCCTCACTGCCAGGTCACCAATGCTGAAAAACCTGGCCGTTCTTCCCTTCCCAACCCACGAAAATCAAGACCGACTTGGCAGTGAGACCGACCTGTTCATGGGTTTTTTCCCTACCATTAAACTACCGGTGGACCAGGTGGTGTTTTCCGCGAGCCAGACACATGTTCAGACTCCGGGCACGCACCGGGCACGCGCGCCGCATCATTCGTCGTTCTTGTTCGCGACCAGGTGAGGAAGACACGGGGGGCCGGGTGTTTCTGGGTCTTTTGTGCCGTTCGTTTGAAAGACTCAGAAGTACCAAGAGAGGTTAAGTGGCCTGAACTAGGACCTTACTGGGGTACCTATGGGATAGTCTATAGGGTTCTTCAACCTCTGTTGGTAAAGGGGGACTTCCTTTACTCTACAGCTCCCGGAGTTCTGGAAGTTTTTGAGACGTTCATCCGATTCTCCTGTCATGAGCTGGGTTTCGACACGGCTCTTGGGACGGCTTTTCCACCATTGAGGTGTGAGGTGGAAGAACAGATCGAATTCGTGCCCTTCTCGTTTGAAGAAGATGGGCTTTCATGCGAACTGCTGTCCACTCGATGGGCAATGCCTCACCCTGAGGTTCAGTGATGCCCAGTGACCGTGCAACCTCGTGCAACTGGTGTTTTTTGGCTCAAGTTTTCGAGCAGAGCCTCCCTTCAGATCTCGTTCAAGTTTGGGTGTTTTCACCGGCACTTCCGCCCACCCGCGACTTCCGCGCCTTCGGAAGCCGCCGCGGATCGATGGTGGAGGGCGACGGATGTCATCGGATCGCCGCGGAGCATCGGAGGGCGCTGCTGGGGCGGAAGATGACGGCGAAGTCGCCGAATGGGAAGTTCAAAGCGGGAGCCCAGGCCATCAACAGCTCAGGCGGCGTTTGGGCGCCGCGTTTCCGCCCCAAAGGGATCAAACGGGGAAGATTAGCAACAGAGAGGTCGAACAGGTTTCGGAGGGTTTCGGTTTTGGTGGCCCAGTGGGGCTGGGGAGGACACCCAGGTGTCCCGTTCTTCAGAGCTCGCTCTGCGCCCCTGCCCAGGCGGAGTCTTGACCAGGATCGAGGTGCACGGAAAGAATATGTTTCTGGCATGGTGGTTTGGGATCCTTTTCTGCTGTTTCTGAAATATACCATATACCAGCATCTTCCAACTATGCCATAATATGCCGTCCAATGCCATTTTGAACATTGGTTGACCTGGTTTTGTAGCGTAAAAATTGTGGTTGTTAGGTAAAGGATGGTAAAGGCCCTTTAAAACAAACGGCTGTTGGAATCCCAATCCATGGCCGTGCCCAAACCTGCACGCAACTCTCGTTCAGGTTTTATTTCTTCGGCCAGGGGGGCCAAGATGATCGTGGTCCACATCCATTTCGGTCTGGCCGGAGCCTTTGCGGTCTATCAGGGTGAAGAGCCCGAGGTGACGAAGAACATACGGCTTCGTTTGGAGACCGTAGATTCCGGAACCAAGCTGGTGGCACATTTGTCTGCCATGGTCGTGAAGCATGGCAAAGAAAGCTTCTATGAGACTTGGACATTGGCCCGGACTAGAGACTACTAGAGACATGAGTTTTTCTTTTTTTGCGTATCTCTAGCCTTCAAAGACCTTCAAAAGAATGGTTGACCTGGTTTTGCAGTCCAAAATCCTTATAAAGCTATGTTTCTTTGGTAGAGTAGAGACCATTAGAATCATGGGATGGCTTCAAGTCCCAGAAGAAAGTCCTGACCTTTCAAGGCTGCTTTTGGTCAAAAAACTCATGCCGCGCCACTTGAACTGGCATGGATTCAACTGCCGATACTTCTTCTGTATGTCCAGGGTTTTCCTGTCAAGCCATCTTTCCCAGCATCACTTTGTTCCAGTCTCACTGACCGATCAGGACAGTCTCGCCAGCAAGTTGGGTGCCGATCCTCTTCGTGAGGATGCCAACGCAGACGACTTGGTGAAGGGTTGCTCCGCCGCGAAGCCTATTGCCACCGTGCTGGTGGACCAAGCAGTTTGTGCAGGAGAGAGGGGCTCCAGTCACGCAAGACACAGACGAAGACACAGGGGGACATCCAGGGAGCCATTTGGCTTGGTGCCATTTGGCCAATGTGTTTCTGCAACCCAAAACCACCCGAAACCGGGCGTTTCCGGCTCAATATTGGAAGGACCTTGTGCGCGACTGAGAGGGCCCAGGGTCAGGGCTGCCCATATCCTGATCCACCAGACGCTCCGAGGGATGGGTCTCAAATCCCGGGTTTTGAGGGACCGGTCGGTGTGTGAACGGAGCGTAACCGATGGAAGAGCGGCTGTCTCCCTCAAAACGTAGGGATCTGGACCTTCTCCCTCGAAACGCAGGGTTTTGGGGCCCCAAATCAAAACCCTTGTCGATCCGGATCCTTAGGCTAGCTCAAATCCGGCTTTTTTTCTGTCCAACTTGGCCAATTCCCAACGTAAATTGGCCGACGGAGATCAGATCTGAGATCCGCCTCGCAGGAATTGGAAATATCTACCGCACCGAAATCCTGTACGAGGCGGCCCTTCATCCGAAACAGCCGGCGAACACGCTGACGCAGCAGGAAATCCTCAAGGTGTGGAATGTGGCGGTGAAACAGATGCAAGCTGGCTTCAAGACCGGTTCCATTTGGGGCCACAAGAAAGGAGCCTTCTGCTATGGAAAGAAGACATCTGCGTGTGGTGGAAAGGCGACTCAGATTTTGGCTTATCCCAGCTTCGATGTCTGAAATGTCCAAGTGTCCCACGGATGCCTGGAAGAGTCCAGCAAGTTGGATTCGTCTGCACAAAACAGGGTCGTGTTGCAGCCATCGAGACGAAAGCTTGTTGAAGGGTCAAAACTGTCTCCAACATGGGGATCCGAAAACTGTGAAAACCGAGGTGAAGCAATTCAACATGGGTGGCAGATCCGTCTACGCCTGCAGCAAGCGCCAGCGCTTGGATTCCAAACGAGCGCCCTTGAGCGACAACAAGGCACTACCCACGCGACAACGGCGCTCAGGCACCAAGCATCTAGGCCGCTCCGTTTCAGCTGTTGAGGCGGAGAACAAGAAGCGCAAGACCGGTGAAGGCCCCGTCGCTGGGTCGGTAGGAGATGGGTCGAAAGGTGATTGGGTCGGTGGTGTTGCTTCGGTTTATTGCCCGATTTCCCACCCAATACTGACTGTATGGGAGTCCAAGACCATTTTTTATAAGGTCTTTAGGGGAATATCGGTGCAAAAAGTGGTCTTTGGACTTCCAGGGTATATATTTGACGGAACATCCCCTCGTGCCAAGGGTTTGTATACAAAGGATCATCGGATGTGTTCCTCGGTGGATCATGTTCCACACGGCGAGGCTTGGCAGTTCAACACGTCGCGTTGAAGGACGACGCCACGCGGCGCGCGGCGCTGGCCGCGCGAGCGGCCAAGAAGCGACCGGCCGCGAGGAAGGGCCCCAAGTGATGGTCGGAACGGCCGGAGGCCTGATGAGGCCTGCGGTGGAGCAGGTCCGAGGGCGATGGACAGTTCTTTCTGGTGGGAGGTCGCTGCCGAGATTTTGGGGGCTGGAGCGGCCAAAGTTTGGACGTGGCGAGATCGAAGCTGCGTGGAGCTCCAAAGAAACGAGCGGCACCGTTCGCGCGGCGGGCATATGGGTCCCCTACATGTCCCAAGTCCCAAGACAATGTTTTGCCACCCGAAGAATCCTGGTTTGAAGGTACATAGGGTTTTGAGGATCCGGACCCCTGCGAAGAGGGAGAAGGTCCTAGACCTCCGAAGATGTCGGGCTCGTGTGGATGAAAAAATCCGGGCACATTGATCGAGGTAGTAAAAGGAAGTTCCTTGTCAGCTCAACCAGACCAAAGAGTCAAAGACTATAGAAAAGAATCGTCTTTAGGCCTACCTGAGTCTCTGAGTCTATCCTTACTTAGCTGGTCACAAAAATGGTCGAACTGGACTAGTCTGACCGACTTCGACAGGTGGACTAGCTGGTGCCCGGGTGGTTTTCATCGTCGTTTGGGGCTCGAAGAAGCGACCTCGCCACGGCCGCGGGGTGGTGGAAAGGCAAGTATGCGGAATTCATCGGCAAGGAGACGACCTGGGAGACGCTCTTTGAGACCACGAGGCAGACCCGTCCAGTCTGGAACTGAGAAAAAAAGACCGTGAAAAACGGTGGGTTTCGTTGGACAGTCCACCATGTCACCGTGTGGGCGCTTGCACTGTGCGCACACACAAAGATACTATATCATACCTCCGTGTATATCTAAAAAATTGCAAACACATCGATGTACACCGGTCCATTGGTGCATTCAGACACCACTGTCCGACCACCCTGGCTTGCATGGCATGGCGTGCACTGCACGGTCCTGGAGTTCTTCAGACTGCACGGTCCTGGAGTGTCCTTCCGACCGACGCGAGGAATGACGTTCAGATGTTCCAGGATCAAGTCCTCTCCTCAGCCGACGGGTGTTCGGCGGACGGACGGACCGGCTCGGTCCGGAGCCCATCCGGTCCACGTCTGGGGCGACCGGGAAGAGGACCGGTCCGGGTCCGGACACCCAGGGAGCCCTGCAAACATTGGGATGATCATTTGTGATAGGATGATAATCATGGAATCATGGACTATCCTCTGGCTAGATCTTCAAACCGATGCAACCATGTGGCCTTTTCAGGTCTTCTCATCGATCAAACCAGCCGTTCGGTGCAGGCATGTTGCACAGTTCTTTCAGATCCAACGTCTGTGGCGCACGAAACGTGTCTGTCAATACACTGCGCGCTGTACGCAGCGGACGCTTCGTGCTTCCAGGACGTCTGAGGCCGCTGAAAGAACCGTCGGACGCCTCCACGGGTTCAGAACCGTCGCTGACCGGTGGCAGCTCGGACTGATTGGGTTGGCCTGTTCCTGAGCGAGTCTTGTCCGGCTCATCCGGTGGATGGTTGATGTGGTTTTTGGGCATCTTTTTGGACGTGAAACAAAGGGGGGACCCTGAGAAGGAGTGATTTTCCCTCATCGACCGGGGCTCCAAGTGGCGACTGGTCAGGCCATTCGCCAGCAGAACCTAAACATCCCGGCCGCGTGTGAGCCGCAGCCGAAGCCACCGAGGTGTTCTACGCTGAAGCCACGGAGCGCGTTCCAGTGCGAACGCCCGGTGAACGCGCGCGCGCGCGCGCGCCAACGGGCGGACCAGGTCCCCCAACGGGTGTTCTACGCATTTGACAGGCGATCTTCAGGCGCTGAAGCCACCTGTTGTCCGAGGAAAAGATGAGTTTCAGCTTGTTCGTACCTATACATTAATTTGTGTATTAGCGCAGCTTGCGGACTCCAGTCAGCGCCATTTGGCAGTGGACTGGTGAGTGACACCCAGTAGCGAACTAACACAAGGATCATTACTGTCACATACAGATGATCCCAACAGATTTTGGTCCCTGGAAACCGGATTGGTGAGAACCCCCCTCCATCCCCCTCCAGTCGTTTGGATGAAAAACCTGACGATGTTGGAGGGTCCAGGAGCCTTTGGCACTTCACCGCTTCACCTCTCCCTTCCCGCTTGGCCTGACTGCTTGGCCGACCGCTTGGCCGAGGCCTGGCAGCCCCTGCTGCACAGTCACGCGGCGCAGCTCATCGCCGAACTCATGGGCTCGGCCTGGGCCCCGACCCAGCACTGCGGGTACGGATCGATCCATCGAACGCTGCGGGGCCGAACTGGCTGCTCTCGGCCTTGGCTGCTCTCGGGGCCCGAACCAAACCATTAAAAACACCAGGTTCTCACATAGAAAAGCCATGTCTTTTGCTAGGGAACCACCGGGTTTTTTGGATGGGCCATGTGGGGCCCCCTCACTGGGCCGGTTTGATGGATGCAAGATGATGCAAGCAGCATGGTAAAGCGTGGTTTCAGAGTCGATGGCATGGAAGTCACTGGCTTGACCCCGAAGTTAGGTGGAGATGGACCCCAAAAGGTTGAAGACATTTTTCATCCATAACACCAGCCCATGTTATAAGGCAGAGAAGTTCTAGGCAGACATGTTGTAGAGTTGGAGAAGTTTTAGGGTCCTGGGCAGTCCTGGGTAACTGGGCGCACCCGGCTGGGTTGGCTCCGGAGTTCACGTCATGTGCACCTGGTGCACTGCGGAGTTCCCAGCGATGTGCTGTAGATATTTTTCCCGGTTCCTGGGTCAAATCCCCTGGAACTGGGGAAGATGGAAGATGGAAGTTGTTTCAGGTTCGACAGCCAATCCAAGCCCACATCCTCATGCAGGTACGGCCAGATCTCCTTTATGGATCTTTATGGCACTCACCCCGACCATCCCCCAACCACCAAAACCTCTGGATGTGGGCCAGGAGCCCTACAAATTGATCGGTTCTCTGGCAATGATGGTACTTGGACTTGGGGAAGCAAAGCCCACTGACACATCTGGGATTCCGGAAAGTACTCTGTGTAGACCTTGGGATATATCCACGACCGGAAATGGGGCTGGCATATATTGGCTGAGACATGGCCAGGGGTTGTCCATTTCCCTCCAATTCCAGTCACCCGCCGGATTGAATGGTCAGACTCCCAGGCCGTTCGACGGATTGGAGACGATGCTCAACCAAACTCCATGCTCAACCATTCTTTCAATGGTCGACCTGAAGGCTAGCATATTATTTACGATTATTATACCCTAGGCCTCCAAATACCTTCTAAGGAGGTACGACTGGAGGTGTAGGGATATGTGAATAAATGGTGAAATCCATGGTCCGCAAGGCACCTTCCCTTTTCTCAAAAAAGAGAACTCGCTGAGCCGGACTTTCGTTTGGACTCGCCGAGCGGCCTACAGAGTCAGGCCGCCGTGTCCTTCTTTTACCTGCATGCCATCTTGAAGCGTGGAGGTTGCGAACAGGCGACCTGGGTCCGTCCCGTGGGTGTTTGTGAAGGAAGAGCATCGGGTGCACGAAAACATGGTACTCGTATATGTTGGGTCTGTCCGAACGTACCCTGTAACAGTCAGTACAGTTATCACTATTTTTGAACAAGGCCTGCAACTGAACCATCATCATCCACGAATAGGCCCTGGTTTTTTTTGGATGGACCCAACGTATATGTATGATGGGTTACGGTATTTCGATTGATTTTGGCCTGCAGTCAAGAGGGGATTCCTATTCCTTTGAGCCACACCCAAATTACATCTGAAAACCACTGGTTTGTAGAGGAAAATCGTCTTCCCAGAAAATAGTCTTCCCAAGGTTGATTTTCAGGTTCCATGTTAATCTTCCTGTAAATTCACGTTTGATTGTTTGAGCAGTTTGCCTCGAAATCCGACGGCACCATCGACGAGTTGTGGCGCTGGAAATTCAGTCGGAAACCAGAAACAGCCGGGGATCTCCAGCCAGGACACCGCCTGGGACAGGTAGTCTGAACCTTGACCTGGGAATCAAAACAACCAGAAACAGCTCTGCTTGTTCCAGCATGGCACTGATTTCGATCCTCAGGACCGAGTTCCAATTCTTTCTGCCTGGCACCTGGCTTCACCCAGAAAACGTCCCCGCACCGGCCGGTCGACGTGGTGAACCGAACCGAACCGAAGCAACGGTGGCAACGAACCGGTGGTCTCGGCGAGCCGAAGAGGCCATTCCGTGGCATCAGGACCTGCCCTATTGGAAGGCGCCGCGGCGTGGAGCTTTGGGTCCGAACGCGCCCGACCTCGCGCCGAGTTCCGCGGCGGCGAACTCGGCCAAAGATGAAAGAAGGTAGACGACGGGCAAAAGAGGTGTTTTATTCATGTCTATTCCACTTCTAACACTTCTTTGACTTGTTTGTTGTCCTTCACTGAAGACCGGGCCTTTTCATCGTCCCCCTACTCGTAGCCTTCTGATCCTTCTGCAGGTGGACGGTCGGCAAATTGGATCGGCGCCAAGCTAAGACCGGTCGACCGGAAAACTGGAGGAGTGGTCAAATTCTTCAGGAAGACGGTTAGTTTTTTCCATTTCAGGGCAACCCTGGCAAGACCCAAATGGATCAGCTGATCAGCAGCGGTCCAATAATTAGCAATGTCGCGAGTCAAGTGTGGGACAGTGAATTCTCACCCACCTTTATATGTAGAAGTTCGTTTATCATCCCCACGTAGAAAATGTATAGGACACCGTGCCACTATCGATCTATTTGGGGACCTTCAAAGAGCCTTGGAAGGGAGGAAGACTCGCTTAAGAGGTGCCACAAGTGCAACATTGCCGGGTTTTGTTCAACGCGAAAGAGTTGTCAATTTGGAACCTTCAAGAAGAAACAAACTCTTGCCCTAAAGTTGTGTATGGTAAAGCAAGTAAGTGGCAATGCCTATACCCTCCAAAATTTGGCACTCCTGGGAAACAGCTTGTCATTTCTGGATACTGTATTTCTGGCTAATTTTGGATCACGGATGATCACGGGGAGTGAACTACTGGGAGTTCACTGGAGTTTTGGACCATGAAATTCTTCTACGTGTGGCTGCTTCGGAAGTCTCCGAGTCTTGAGCCACGGGGCCCCGCTGCGCACCTAAGTGCATGTTTCTTCGATGTCTTCGGACTCGTGGTGTCCGAGTCCGAAGGTTTGGATCGCGCTGGATGATATGCCTCTGGCGGCCAGCGTGCGATATGTGCAGGGCTCGCACGTCGGGGTTCCCCGAACGCCCACCGAAAACGGGCGCCGGCGTGTGCCGCCGGCGTGTGCAAACATGAAGGGATCGACCCGACTCCTCCAGGGTCAGGGGTATGGTTTATTTTAACTATCATTCAATTCCATATTATATCTTATTTCTTACAGATAATGACCTGGCCCTTTATTTTAATGGTCTGGATCCGGTTTTCAGGACTGGGAACCTCGGGGTTTTGGGGGCCATGTTTTCACGGAGAGGCGCGTCGAGGGGAAGGGGAGGAACAGGTCGACACGTTCATCCTCAAGGGTGTTGGGTGAATCCAACGATTTTGCTGGTCCCTCGAGGTCCCGACGATTTTGCCGACCATTTGAACATCGTGGTCCTGATGTTGTATGTCTCAAATCCTTAGCAAAGCAGCTTGGTTGTCCAGCAAGAACCATCAAATCAATGGTGGTTGGAATCCAAACGGACGGCCCTGTGGTGTCCGACTTTGGGGGGGATGCACATGGATGGACATGAGGCCCGAATCCTGACACCTTCAGTTTTTCACAGCTCTGCGTGGACAGAAGTTCTCTCCCTACAACTTCCGGCAGAAAAGGGGGAAATCACTCCCAGACGCTCCATGTATGCAAATCTTATGACATTCACCACTCAAATCACTCAAATGTATGGGACTGGATCACCCAGCTTCGCACAACAGCTCACGGAATTCCATAAATACATATGAAGAGGTTTTTCAATCCACATGGGGTGGCTCTATTCATCAAGATTCTACATTCAATATCTGCGGCATTCAGAAGTCCTGATCCCAACCTGTGCCACACGCCGCACCGGTTCCCTATGACGAGGCTTGGGGCCTTTTCCGTCCGCAGCACTTTGTGGACCACTCCTCCTATACAGGCGCCCTGCGATTGGTGCGCGGGTATCCACACGGCGGGGCGAGACAGCCGATGCAGCACGATCCCATCAGATTCATCTGAAGGGTTGCTCCGTTCGCAGCGATGCCAGGAGCCCCGTTTCGTAGCGTCCGATCGCTCCGTTCGTAGCGATGCCCTTGTGACGTTCGTAGATTTCTGGTTACTTGGGGTCGGGTTCGCCGGGCGGGTCCTCTTGCCAGGGTCCTCCCAGCTGCTCTTGCCTGCTTGGTTCGTCGAGAAGCTCCCAGTTCGACCATGGTCGTTCGTCCTCAGTGGACGTCTCAGTTCGACCAAAACATGGTTGACCCGGTTTCGGTCGTCTAAACTCCGTCAAGCTCGGTTCTTTGGGATTTCAGACCCAAAAACAAAGAAAAACACGCACCCCCCTTCCCCACAGCGCGCTGTGTTTGGGACATGTTTGGATTGGTTTTGTTTGTTTTTTACTGCACTGATGTTTTGTTTGTTTTGAACAAGAACAGGGCGACCAGAATCACATCGTCTCCACAGTTTCGTGACGTGTTTTCTCCTCCGGCCCGCATGCAGGGCGAGAGGACTTGCCCTTGCTGCCGGACGTGGATGGCTTGCTGCAAACAGGCGCGCCGGTGCAGCGAAAAATGAACTGGGAAAAGAAGGCGATAAACAAACATATGCCAGCACCACCCAAAGGTATTGGATGGAAAATACATCTTCAGGGGGTCTTTGAACCACCCGAACTGGGTGGTGTGGAAGGTGCCGACCATTTTCACCATTCGGGTGCAGTGTTTGGCAGCCTGACGGTGATGCGCGCCCTCAGTAAAGGAAGGGATCGCCTCGTCAGACCCTTTTTGCGTCTTGGACGAAGGAAGGATGAAAGGGGCCAATCATTTGTCGTATGAGATCATGGCAACCCTACAAGTCCAGTTTGACCCAGGAAAACCGTTTGTTTTTTTTTTTTTTTTAAACCTTCTTAAGTATCAGTTTTGTATGACCATCCCCGCTCTTTTTTTTGGGAAAAGCACAGGGAGGGTTGGGTGCTAGATCATGCTCTCACACTCAATCATGGACATCCGCGCAAGGCAAGCTTGCCAAGCTTGATCAAGCTTGTTTGACAAGATATGAACAGGTTGACTAGGATAATGGCGATAGGATACTGGGATACCTCGTTTGAGTGTGTCTTCGGACTCTGACCTCGCGAGTGGCCAGGCCATGTCTTTCTGTTTGAAACTGCGAAGCCCCAAGACCTCGCCGAGGCCGTGCCAATGCCTTGGCCTTTGAAGTGAAGGCCGGCGATGCCCTGTGCTTCGACGCACGCCGGGAGCACCCAGGAAAAACGAGCCGATGGCACCCACCGTTGTGGCAGGTCGTGCCGTTTTTGGGGCAAAGGATATATTGCTGGATTGGTGCACACCGTTCGCTTTGGAGAAGAGGTTGAAGGATGTCGAATGTAAGTCTAGTTGTTGTTGTTGTTGTTGTCGTCTTTTTTAAATATAGTGTGTACATTGCGCTTTGCTTTGTTGGAAAACTTATTGACTTGAGTCAGCTCAAATGCAAATGCTGCGGTGCCTTGGTGATTTGGCCTCCACGCTCAAGGTGACCCCGAGCAGCCTTCTCTAGACCCCTAGCCTTCCAAGACCATGTTCAAAATTGATTGACCTGGCTTTGTAGTGTAAAATCCTTGGTAAAACAGCTCGGTTCGGTACGAATCATTCAATGGTTGCCATCCTAGGGTGGAGGTGGTCATTTGGTATCGAGGTTTACATCATCGGGCGCAAAAAAAAGCGTCGTCAGTTTCTCACCGAGTTTTGTGGTCATCGCCGACTTCCCTCGTGATGAATAGCACTCCCCCCCAGACATGGATTGTACTGGTAGAACCTCTTCCTTTATAGGGGGTTGAACATGTTGAAATAACTGACGTGAATCTACGAATCAGAGCATTTTGTGGTCAGTCTCCCTCCCTTGGAAGAGCTTTGCTGTGAATCAAACCTCCCCATACCCAAACCATGGTAGTTTCACATCCTTTGTAATCTTGGTACCAGGACCTTCCAAAAGGTGGTTTTTGGACACCCCTTAACCTCTAAGATGCTATTTATAGGCACCTCTTGGAAGGTCCTGGTCGAGGAATTCTGACCGGGTTTGGACACATCGGGAAACAGGCCAAGAAATCGGCTCGACCGGACAGTTTCCCACACCAGTAGTCATGGAATGCTAGCATTTGGTTCTCTTTAAAAAGGGGAGACCGCCTATCCATTCGATACCCTGAAAGAAGGAACGCCTCCTGTCGGAGGTATATATGTTGAAAATTTCAGATCCTATGTCACCCTGTTTTGCTGGTACACTTTTTGGTATCCTGATTCCTATGTCATCAGGCCCCGGCTATGGAGAAAACAATGGGGAAACCATGATGTGAAGACCCCCAAAACAGTCGCAAAAGGGGTTGGATACACCATGGTGCTGACACTCCACGCCCCGATGAGATGGGACCAGTGGAAGAAGAAACAACACAAGAAACAAAGTGATATCATAGATACACACCCACTTTGTTCCACCCTCAGAATCCTTGGGCCCAACCTCTTCGCAGGGGTCGAACCCTCTATATATATCACAGGGGGTTGTTTGGGGTCCCGAACCAAACCCTACCAGGGGCCCTCAAAGCCATGCAAAAACAAAGGCTTTCACCATACAAAAACCATGTCAGGTTTTGAATGGGAAAACCCAGGTTTTGAATGGGCCATGGTTCGGGCCCCTGGTATGTGTTGCGGACCGGGCGGATGGTGTTTTCGGAACGAGTCGCACCCCTTTCGTCGGAGACGGTCTGTGCCGATGTCCGTGACGTGACGACGGGCCGTGTCGGACGAGGAATCGTGCATGGCTCCTTGGGCAATCCAGAGGCGCCGACAGGGCCTGGAAAGCGTGCACGTGCACGTCTTGCGGAGGGGAAACAGGTGGAAAACCCGGTTCAGATTGAGAAGTTCCTGCTGAAAAAGGGTGATTTGGTACAACTAAGAGTTGGGCTTTGTAGGTGACATGCTACAAACATCAACTTGATCTCATTGTTCTTTTTGTTGGGTAGCACCAAGACTTCGTGCATGGATGACATGTAGTGTTGATCACATGTTGATCACCCTTCTCCGAGTCTCCCACGTATCCGACGATGAGAAAGGTGATCAGTCTGCCTACGTATCGCTGATGTGTCAGGCTCCGGTTTTCAGACAGCCAGGAACTCCTGGAGTGCTCAAACTCAAGCATGGAACAGCTTCCTTTTGATCGGGGCTGTGGAGTTCGAGTTCTGGGTGACTATAGACATTCGGGAATTGCTTGTACATTTTTTTCGGAAGATTGTGGAACCCTAGAAGTCCAGTTCGACTATTCCTGGGCCCGAAGTAAAGGAGATTCTCAGACTCAGGTCACCTGACGTCAGACCATTTTATAAATATATAGTTTTCTCTAAGACATCGATGTTGTCCATGCTTCTCGGTCGCAGTCATTTGACCAGAAGCATGGGGCCGGCAGCTTTCCCACCTCAGCAGCGGTTCATGCGACCGGCAGGTGGTGCAGGAACACCGCCGTATAGCCCTGCGCTTCGGAGGAGATGCTCGGGGCGCCCAGTCTGCGGAAAGGCGACGACCAAAACCGTGGAGTCGACACATGCGGACGACTGGTGTGACGCGACGAACGTAGGGAATGAGGGGTAAGAAGAATGAGCCCCCAATTAATATATGGTGCCATCCACTTCCATGTTAGTTTTCGGGAGTGTAGAGATTCCTTTGGATTTTGGCATCCAGCCACCCTCATTCCGAATCCGAGTCGCACCAGTCCGCAGCAGTCAGCAGACTGCGTCGGACTGGAGTGGTCGAACAGGACGGAAGAGCGACTGTGGGGAACATCTAGCTCGACATCGACACCTGTTTTTTTCTTTGTCGTAAAGGAATCAGGTGACACGTGACAATATGATGCTTTGTTTTCAATTTGCCTGATCTTAATAATGATTCAGAAGATGGAGGGTCATGGAGTTTCACCACCTGCACACTAACAAAACAATTACCCTACCCCTGGGATTCCAACAACCATTATGACGATCTTTACCAAAGGAGAGCTTCTTTTGCTCTTCAGGATTTTGGACTACAAGACCAGGTCCAACCAGCGGAAAAAACGCTGCTTCGCCCATTGTCACTTCCTACCAGCGGCACGTCTCCTCGCACGTCTCGTCCTACGCCGACGCTCCCGGCTTCGCGCGGCGAGACGCCACGAGTCGTCGGCGAGACGCCGTCGGGTCTTGAGGATGCGACCTACTGTGATCGAGAGGGAGAAACGGCCATTCCCACGTCTCGCGACGGCAAGCGCGACGATGCGGTTTCGGATTTGGACGCGGGACGCGGGACTTCGTTGAAACGAACAACTACGCCGGCTGTCGGTCGGGTCGTTTTCTATGTTTTCTTCGTCTCCGGCTGTCCTGGCGGCATAGGCCTGAAAATGAAGGGAAAGGTAGGGAAGGGTTGTTTTTTGGACAGATCCTTTTTGGGGGGTACCACAATCACCTGAGGATGTGGGCCAGGTGCCCTAGAGTTTGCGAAGTCGTTTGGGAGGTTTCCAAGTTGCATTACGCGCCCCGCGCCCTGAACCTGAACCCGAACTGGAACAGTTCCCGTTCAGGTTCAGGTTCAGGTTCCCACCGTGTGCGCCGGAACCCGAACCCGAACCCCAACCCGAACCCGAACTAGAACCCGCCCGCTCGGGCCACCGCATCCGGCCTCCACCCGACCGTTCAGGTTGCAGGTTCACCCCCACCCAGCGCCCACTCTGCCGAGTTGGGTAGCTGAAAAAAAGAGTCAGATGGGGATGGGTCAACCTGGAACCCGCGTTTTCACTATGCAGCGAACGAATGACACACGAAGGAACGATCTCAGTCACGACAGCGAGCTCTGAAGGAGCTCAGCGGAAGTTGTTGTTTACGAAATATGGTGAGGCTCAAAATTGAAAGGTTCAGTGAACTAATTGATTCTTTCAACTAAAGGGAGGAGTCAGCCGAGGGGGGGGGCCCCCCCTCCCTTTTATTGATTCTTTCAATAACCACCACCCTCTCGCAAAGGAATTGATATTTCAATTGCAGATTGAAACGTCTAGGGGGGGGGGGCGGCCCCCTGTAAAATGAATTGAACGAATCTATTCGACTCCTCCCTCGTCCTTCTGAGAAAGCATGCCAAATGCCTAGAAAAGGCAATGAAAGTCGAGTTTTTTTTAGTGTTCGGTTGACTCAGCCAACAACACTTAGCGCTCGTGGCACAAAAGCGTTGCGTTGCTGCCCTCCCTCCGCGTCCCTTTGATCCTTCCACCCCTCGCTTTCGTCCCCACTGTCCTCAAGTCTTCTTTCAAGTACAACCACCCCATCCGGGCCCAGAGCAACACACATAGCGGCATAGCGAACCGGGACGAGAGCCCTGCGAAGATCGGTGGAGAAGGGAGAGACATTGAAGGCTTGTCCGGATTCGACCAGGGCTTGTCGTTTAAAGTTTAAAAAAATATACCTGGAGTCGACCCGTTCGTACTTCCGAACATTGGTATACTTGCAATGACATTTGTTTATGGGGTCATGTTCTATTTTTCTATAAGGTAATTGAAGTCGGCTCCAGGTCTGGTCCCCTGAAATCAATGCCGTGGCGGCCGAGGCCGGAAATCGACGCGACTCATGGCCTTCGCCATGGGGATGCCTTGACCTGCGAGGCATCGAAGCGGCGTGCAAGGCATCGAAGGCCGTCGTATACGTAGAAACTGACTCTTCTCGGTACCGACGGTACGACGGAACGACCCTGGCACCGGCAAAGAAGAGTGTCTCCAAACATGTTGCGAGAGGGTATACTTGGTACAGGGAAATCCCGAGTGTCTCCCCCGACGCCAAAACAACCCCGATTGGGACGAACTGATCGGGATTTGAGAGCCCAAGTCTCCTTCCAATGGTCCGCTGCAGCCAGGAAGGCCCTTAGAGGAGTGAAGAATTGCATTTGCCCCTCATTCCCTTACAGCCTCTGATTGTTCCAAGCCCGCTTCAGTTGGCAGTCTATGGGAATGAATCTCGATCTTTATAAATATATTTCATTCATCTTCTCATATATAACGCATATAATTTTTCAGGTGCTGTTGGGGTGAGTAAGATTCAACCTTTGAATCTTTGTAGAGACCGGGTTTTCAAGACTCGTGCTTCTATTGATTCAGAATCATTGAATCATCCACAAATTGTGAATAGTCATAATTGAATCAGCCACAAATTGTGAATAGTCATGTTTATAGTCAATGTTTAAAGTTTATAGTCATCCACATTGTCAATGTTTATAGTCATGTTTCGTCATTCGAGATTGACACACAGATATCACAACACCGAGGGCAGCGTGAGAGCGTGAAAGGTTCTTGAAGGCCCATTCCATGCCGCGATCGGCCGCGATCCCACCATCGGCCGTGTTACTGGTATATCGGTATATCAACCAGCAGTCACGTTCGACGGGGTGCGATCCATGGAGGTGGTCGGGGTTTCTCGTTGATCCACTCACTGGATGGGACGACGAGCCACACCACACCACCCAGGCCCTCCATGTGACTCCTGGTTCCGCATCTATCGTGGTAAACATGGTGTCTTGGCCTCCGCCTGGGCCAAGAAACACACTCCTTGAGCTCCCTAAAAATCCCACGGCCGCTTCGCCAACCTCAACACATCAGTGGCCCGGTTCCCGCGCGGCCCTTCCATCGGTGGAGAAGATCGCAAACGCGGCCCGGCCCGGTCGGACGACAGAAGGTCTGCCCCCGACGTCGAGTACCATCGTTCAGCTTCCCAGCTTCTTCAGTTGGGTTTTTCCCCTCTTGGAGTCCTCACGTCGTGACCGAACACCTCAGGGGCCTGTCCTTCAGTGACCGAAACACAGATCGAAAGATCGAAAGAAGAACCCGGACGTCTCCCAAGCCGAGCGGAATGGACACGATCATCTTAGGGTTTCTTCCCGTCACCGCTCAGTCCTCTTCCCGGTACCGGGTACCGGGTGTCGGGACCGTTGGGGCCTGGGAGGCCTTTCCACGTGTTTGGCCGTGAAGGAGAAGACCAGGCCGGTGCCGAAGAGGAAGCTGCCGATGAGAAGAGACATGGATGGCACCACCAGGTTTGTAGAGGAGAATCGTCATCCTTTTGAGGCCATGAGAATTTTACGCGACCATGATGATTCTGTGCAGTCTTTGATACCTTACTTCCAAGCATCAGGTGCTTTTGCGTGGAACATGGAGGGTGTGTGTGTGTGCTCGATTTCGACCGCTCTCATCCATGTTCCCGTACCAAAGTTCTTCATGATCAAATAGTGGGCCGCTGCTTGATAGCCAAATAGTCTCCTACTTTCTTTTCAAAATCACAGGGTTGCGGTAGTTTCAATGGTACGATATTGTATGAATCACGCATCCGAAGTGGTCCACCAGAAAAACATAGACTTACTATGACTTTCTACATATATATATATATATTATATAGGTCTTTTATGTAGCTCCTGAGCCATCGATCAGATCAACCCATTGAACCCCAAACCTTTGTTTTCATGTCCCCAACAAAATCATGTAGCGTTCACTTTCACGACCTTCTGACGACCTTCAACGTGTGCGCCTGCCACCGTTGAGGCCGCGCTTGCCGGACAACCTTTGGCACGTGCCGTACCTGGCGGTGCGCGTTTCGTGGTAAGACGACCGGTGAAAACAATGATCGATGAAAACACCATTGATCAATGTAAGCCCTAGGAAGCCATGAGGATTTCAAGCACCGTTGATTTAGAGTGTTTTGTGTCTTTTGACAAAAAAACACTTGAGTTTTATTAAAAGATACTAAAAGGATCTAAAAGGGTTTTAGAATATTTTAGACAACAAAGCCAGGTCAACTGTGCAAACTTGAAGGTCATCAGAGGCGAGGGTCCCAGTCCCTTTTGTATACATAAGAACCCAACAACCCCCCTATTAGTCTGGTCCGCCTCGTTTGTCCAATACTAACCACCTGTAAAACCAGTGTAGCCTGTTTTTGCAAAAGCCACGCAATGATCCCCAATTAGCTTGTTCTGGTTTGGTCCACCTTTCGTGGGGCTATCTCTTTTGCAATACTAACAGTCAATTCCCTTTCTTCAAACCCTTCAAATTAGAAACAAATTAGTCTTTAGATGTCTTTAGGCTCCCTCCTGAAGAATGGGGATCTTTTCATCATGCCAGTAGGTGCAGCCAACATATGTAGCACTCAGCACGCATATGTTTTTTGGGTGGGGGCGGTGCCTTCAACGGTTCGGATCTACCATGGTGGGGAGACCGTGATCCTCCGCTCCGGATGTGGAGGATCGATGGACCCAGGTGGCCGCTGGGACCGTTGTGCTCGCTGGGGCGTGCTCGCTGCGTGCGATGGAGCAAAGGGCGGCCGAGCGCGCAGCGTGCGGGCAGCCGAGCGTGGGGCGCTGGCACCATCAAGGGGCACCTCCCCATCGATGTTCGGGACCCCGAAAAAGGAAACGAGGACTGGAACTGAATCTCCTTGGAGCTTAGAAGGAGTACTGAATTTCTGGGTCCTGCTTGGAGCTTGGTGAGCTTGGTCCTCTAACCTTGCTCATGAGAGAACAAAGACATGACTCATTCTGGCTCTGCCTTGCAGGCTTTCGCCACTGTGTAACTTTGCACCGTTTTCAGAACCCCCGGAAGTCCAGGAAAGACATGAGAAGACGGTCCAACGGCCGTCGAACTGGGCATCTCAAACATCGTCGAACTGGACTAGCTAGGGGAAATGCCCACAGGGTACGAATTTGAGGTGAGGTCGGACTAGGTTTGGGTCCGACAGGACGTCCTAGACTGAGTCGGCATTCATGCCATCGTTTGATGGCATGAGGTTCGGGCGTTCGGGGAAAGGTTTTTTTTGGGTTTCGGGCCATTGCCAGATTGTGGATGTGTCCTTCATGTACCACCCAAAGTAGCTAGGACCCCATACAGCAAGGTGGTGGCACATTCATCGGATCAGGGTACCTCATCCAGTTCGCGTTTCCAACGGCAGGTGCTTCCAAAGCGAACGGCGCGACATGGCCTAACTCCAGCCACTGAACGAAATCGAGGACGACCCGGGCGACGACGAAACGAGGTCTCTCGACCTCGACAGTGAAAGGGTTGGAAACCTCGGGGTTGGTGCGGTTGGTGGCCATCTGTAGATGTTCCCAGTTCCAGATTTGCTCTTGTTATCTATTGTTTCTGTTTGTTACAGATTGTTAGAATTTTTGGGAACTGGTGCTTGCTTTCGTCTTCTTGTGCTCAACTGTTGGATGCTCTGATCATGCGTGGAACCACGCCGTTCATGGTTGACATCTGCCGGTCGATTCCGCGCCACGCGTGGCGCCTGGCGCGCAGTAGAACTGGAGGTGAGTGTGTTGATAACCGCTCAGGCCAAGTGTCCTCAAATGTTATGCAGAGATCATCAGAGATCTGCAGATGTGTTCATCATTAGACTTGTTATATTGTTAGTACCCTAACAATCCGAACGGGCCTCCATGACAGGGGTTGGACCCGACACCGAAACACAGGGGTCTGGACCCTCAAAACCCTGTCTATTTGAGGGCCTGGATTCTTAGGGTATGATTTTAAGTTTTAGCAAATTAATACCCTAAAAGTCCAGTTCGACTATATTTTGACCCACTGAAGTAGAGGAAGCTCCTTTTCAGGTCACCCAAAGACGATTCTTTTCATAGTCTCTGACTCTCAGGGAATATATTATGTCGGCAGGACACCGCCCGACCCGTGCCCCGTTTGATCCGCCGGGCGACGGACGCCAGTGGACGCGACGGATCCTCGACGTTTCGTTTCGTCGTCAACAGTTCCTCCAAAGCCGGTGGCCCCCAGTCCAGTCTGAGCCAGAATCCAGTCTCCTGGTCCAAACTATATAGTTTTCTTTTTACGACCCAACTCCAGCGAAATGAGGTCAGTTCCTGACCAAGGCCCGGGTTCCCCTCAGTTCCTGAAACGGGCCAGTCGACACCAAGAACCGGGGAACCGCCCCGGCCGCGGCCCCCTTCGGAGGGTTCAGCAGGTGCGGGACGGCCCCAAAACGGAATCCGGTGGGGCGGGAGGCCCGGAAATCCCTGAAGCCTTTCGTGGGTCTGCGCGGCGCCGGTCGGCCGTTTTTCACGGGGCCACGGCAAACAGTTCATCCCCGCGGAGCTCACCACGTCGTTTTGTTGCGGCGGAGGAATCGATCCCCAAAGGCTTCTGAAGACCATGCACCAGGCGAAGACGCGGACGGACTGGACGGACTGGATCGGTTCCTCCGGACGATTTGGGATGCTGTGAGCGGATATGGTGACCCAACACGCAGAGGGGAGCGGATATAAAAGTCTAATTACCTGATGGTTTGGGAGCCTGGTGGTCCACCAACTTCATGTGGTTTACCAAAGAACCATAGCTTTACTCCAGGATTTTAGACTACAAAGCAAGGTCAAACCATTTTACAGCTTTGTCTCAGACAGGCCTCTTCCAGCCGTACGTTTCTGGGGTGAAGCAGGGGGGAGGACAGCAATGTTGACCAGCATTCCTGAAACAGCCGGCCCCCGCTGAAGCTATCCTCTGTCACTCCCAACTGAATGCCGCTCCTTTATCAGCCCTGAATTCACCCCAGGGCTCCTGGCCCATCTCCTCAGGTTCGGTGGTATTCGACCCCCCTGGCACCCACCCCAGTCCCATCTTAGGAGGTGGGCCAGGAGCCCCTAGGGTCAGTACACTAACAACCCGGTTTCGTGAGCTCATGAGCGAGGCTGGGTGGTCTCCCGGAAGACGCTCCCCATGGACCGAGGAAAACCGTGTTCTCCCAGGGGGTCAGAACCAGAGGGTCTATGTGAGTGACATCGGGAGATGTACTTGTATGTGATATTTCTCATGATATATCCCTCTACTATACTAGGACCTTTCAAGAGGTGTCTATAACCAGCCTCTTACAGGTAAAGGGGTGTCCAATAAATCACCGGACTTGGAAGGTCCTGGCACCTTGGATGGGTCAATGACAGTGAGTGACATCGGGAGAGGTCCTTTTGTTGGAACGAAACGACGATGGACCCGCTGAGGTGGGCATCGGACCTCCTCCGCCACAACTGCCAGTGGCTTCGGCGACAGATTTCGGGTGGACGGCCCTTTCCACGACCCGTTTGGGACGGGAAAATCTGCCGCCCCAGAAGCCCGACTTCAACCACTCCAATGTATGTATACCTTCAGTTCGACCATTCAAAGAACGGTTGAGCTGGCGGTGTAGTGTAAAAAGGCTTCGTAAAACTAATGTTTCTTTGGGATTCAGACCATCAAAACAATGGTTGTTTGAATCCTATAGGGTAATATATGCCGGTCCCGTGTCTGCGACGGGAAAGAGACGTAAAGCAAAGAAAAACAGCTGCGAGGGAGTGGAGCCAGCAGAGCGAGCAAGCTACGGAGCCGCGGAAAAAGCCCTCCGTGGGCCAAACCGGGGATGGCCCCAGTGGACCACCGAAAGCGAACAGAATAGACTACCCCGGGGGCCCGGTCTACTCAGGGTGAAACGGGGTCGGAGATCGGTGCTGTGCCCAGACTCTCCCAACACACTTTGCTCCTTCAAAACCTGACAGTTTTGACACACCGTCACCCCTGACCTGAGGATTCAGGACTGATCGGATCCATATGATCCAGGGTCGCGTCTGGGTGCTTTCTTTCATTGGCTTGCTTTTGCTGTTTCACGTGTTCCGTCGATGGTGCTTCATCCTGAAGGACTGGTCCTTGGGCGGGTTTTCTTTGCTAGATGAAGAACGGGCACCAAGCTGTCGACCACGTCACTAGTGTCAGCAGTCATTTCAGTTATCCCATTTCACTGACAGCCACTGGCAGCTTCGCCTCTGTTGGCCACGCAGCCTTTGGGTGTTTGACGGGACGGTCCGCCACCTACCAAGGCGCCGTCGGAGGGCGTCCGCGCCAACAGCCGAGACGCAGCACTGCTGGGGGTGCCCAGCTGCTCGAAAGGGTGTGACCGGGGCGCGACGGGGTGAAGTCGCAATCACTTCGAGTGCAACGAACAGCAACTCAGCCATAGCCAGAGAAAGACATCATGACATCAAGAGCACAAAAAAATAGAAACTCTTCACCCACTTGGTTTTCTCACTACTTCTGCCTGTCATACGCTGTTCGTAGAGTTTACACGCGCGCGCGCGTCTCTAACAAAGAACTTGAATCGAACATACTACCAGCACCACCCCAAGGGTGGTTTATAGACCCCCTTGAAGATGTATTTTCCATTGTAAATAAAAAGAACACGCCAGTCGTAGGGCCAAAAGGCCTGCAATTCGCCAGCTGGCGAGCGGTGAGGTGAAGGAGGTCACTGCGGGTTTTTGAGAGTCTGTGAGATGAGCCGATGCTGGTAGCTAGTTGGGGGGTCCATGTATATTTGTTTCGCCGGGGGTCAGATGACCTCTGCTTTTCCTGGGGCTATTTGGTCATGATCTAGCCCAAAAAATCTGGTACAAGGCGGAAGAATCGTTTGGATACATCCAGGATCATCCGGGAGGCTCATTTAGAATACCCAAACAGTACTACATGTACTCCCATGTTCCTATAGTCTTCCCCAAAACCAGGAGACACCCTGTAAGTTTGGGGTTTCCAATTGATCAGCTCCAAAAAGAGGTTTGTTTAATGGGTGTCCATTCACCACCCCGACGGGTCCTGGCTCGTGTCCACCGCTTCGCGGGACCCGAAGCCGCCCGTGAAGGACGGCCAACCGAACGGGGAACGGCGTTTTTTCAATGTGCATGTTTATAGGCAAGACAAGCATATAGTGAAACACTGCCAGCATCACTTCAGGGGCGGTCTATAAACCACCCAAAGGGTGGTGCTCTTTCCCCGGACCTCTGGTAGAACGGTTTCCGGAACGGTCACTCCAGGAACGACTGCTGCCCTGCAACAACCCGGGACGCGAAACGGCAGAGGATGCTCCTGGAGAAGCGTCAGCAGTCCATCGAAAAGGTGCCGCCCAGACCTCCCATCGAAAAGGGCGGACGAGGGAGCTCGGACACCGCGCTCCTTCCGGCGGAGACGACGAAGGTCGTCGTCGGGGTCCGAACTCGGTCCGTCGGTGGGGGCGCCATAGTCATAGCCGGAGCATCCCGAAGAACCAGCTGTTTGACGCTTTGACACGACAACACCAGATCGTTCCCATTTTAAAACATGGTCGAACGATGTGGGACGGACTTCCGGGTGGAAGGCCAGGGTGCGGCTGTCTGGCTGTGGGGTCGAAGGGAGCAAAAGGGGTGAACTTCAGGCGCCCGATGCAAAGACCTCCGGTTTGGACAGGGAAATGGTACGAAAGACATTCAAAGACCTCAAAAGACCTATAAGGGCCTCCCCGGAATCCTTCAGGTCCCGTGCAGGTCCCGTGTGTCATCATTCATCTGACTCGTTATTAATATCGTGAACTATTGGTGGTGTTCCATTGCCGGGCCGCAGCTGTTTTGAAGCCAAGGCCATTCATGGCGATGTAAACTATGAGACATCTTTATGAGACACACACTGAACTGAAGAGCTTCTTTGTCACAGTTCATATCCTCCCTGGAAGTCACAGTTCACATCGACATAGGAGTCTGTTTTATGAAGAAGCATGGTCCAGCATGGTAGACAGACAGGACTTCGCATGGACTGGAGGTGTTCGTGTTTGCTACATCTCTGTGATTTCGCCACAAGACGTTTCGAAGTCCAGTTTGGGCGGCATTCATCGAAAAGAATCCATGCCATATCTCAATTCCTCCGTCAACGACATCAGACCGTTTTGTCCAATCCGACTAAAAGGGTCCACGATAGAAGGGCCGACGAAAAGCGTCGACTCCTCACATCTCCGATCTCCGACCGCCGATTTTCACCGCGCCCTGCGGCACCCCGTCGAACGCCCCAGTCGTCCGACGCGGGGCAGAGGGACCGGAGAGTGGGGAGACAGGCTCGTCGTCGCAGGGGTGGCAGACATATTATATAAATATATAATCCCTGTTGCCATTTCCCCTATGAAATGGGAGGGGTCAGGCCCTGTATAACAAAATATTTTGTAGTAATATATTTTGTTGGCTTGCCAAAGCCATTTTGTAGCCCACGAACCCGAATGCAGACACGTTCGAAAAGTTATAAATGACACTCTTGTGGGACACTCTTGTGGGTCACTCTTGTAGGAAACTCTTGTGGGAAACTCTTGTGGGACACTCTTGTGGGACACTCTTGTGGGACAGTCTTGTGGGACACTCTTGTAGGACACTCTTGTGGGACACTCTTACGGGACACTCTTGTAGGACACTCTTGTGGGACACTGTTGTGGGACACTCTTGTGGGACACTCTTATGGGACACTCTTACGGGACACTCTTGTCGGACACTCTTGTGGGACACACTTCTTGTG